TTCAAGATCCTCATCCTCACCTACAAGGCCATTCACGGCCTTGCTCCCTCCTACCTCTCCAACCTACTATCCCCCTACCTACCTGCCCGTACCCTCCGTTCCTCTGGCTCCGGTCTGCTCCACGTCCCCCGCCCCAACCGCCCTACTATCGGTGGTCGGGCCTTCAGCCTCTCAGCCCCCAGGCTCTGGAACTCCATCCCCCAGTGCCTTCGCCTTGCTTCCTCCCTTTCCTCCTTCAAGGCCGGTCTCAAAACCTTTCTCTTTGACCGTGCCTTCAGCTCCCCTCTCGACTCTCTTCCTCCTCCTCGCTCCCTCCCTTCCCTCCCCTCACCCTGACCATTTCCCCCTCCTCTCTCCCTCCCTTCCCTCCCCTCACCCTGACCATTTCCCCCCTGCTCGGGTCATGACCCAACTGTGCAGCGCCTTGGGACGTCCTCCTGACGTGAAAGGCGCTCTATAAATGGAATCTTGTTGTTGTTGTTGTTGTTCTGTTGGTGGAGACCACAGTAGCACTTGAATTAAAGTTAAATATTTGAAAGGATTATGAAAAAGATTTCTATTAAGCTTCTTTGATTGAAAGTTATTTGCATATTACCGGCATGTGAAGGAAGGTTTCAACACAAATATTGCATTTCCGCATAGGGTCTTCTGGCTTTTCATCAGAGGGGAAAGAGGCAGAGAGTTGAGGGGGAAAGAGGCAGCGAGTCGTGCGGACTGGGGGAAGGAGTTCCCGAGCGCAGAGACTGAATGGCTGAATCTATTCCTATCTTCAGTTCAGTATTTTACTTTCTTTGTTGACTCAAAAGAAAAGGATTGACTGCTGTTGTCCAATAATTACAATTGACAGTGAAGACCTGATGCTGAGGGACTCGGTCCTGTTACAGTGAAGCTGTTTCTGGTACAATTTCTCCTGTTCAGTATCAGCGCTGCTGTGAGCAATGAAAAGACACTTTTTAGTGAAACACAGAGACTGATAAATGCAGGGATTTAACATGTAGTTTTAATTTAAATTTTTTTCCAAATAATATTGATTGTATCATCATAAAATGAAAGCTGAAGTTTTTCAATACATCGACAAATAAGCAATCAGTAAAAGTAAATAAATTTACGTAAATAAATGAAGAAACATTGAGTTAAACACATCAGTAAGTGTCCCATTCCAGTCCCCGTGTTGTAAACACCGGCAGAAGCTTCCCGTCCTGCGCCGCTGCTATTGACGGTAATCGATCTGGAGGATTGGATCATCACAGACTGAGAGCATTAACTTAGCGACAACCGAGGGCCGGTCCCTGAGAAAAACATACATTAAATCAGTAACATAGGGACCATCATCTACAGAACCATAGCCAGTGCCCCGCCGCCCTGTATGTGTGTCTCTGTGTCTCTGTCCTCACTGTAACTGCAGCTGAAATACAATACCGCAGGTTTACAGGACAGTGTCGGGAAAGGGCTTCACGGCTCTGACCCTCAGCAGCTTTGACGTTTGTATTGAACACCAACATCACGAGGAGTGAAAAGGAAAATAAATATAAATAAAAAGTGAACAGATGCAGGAGAAGTTTATTCAACACTCTACCTTCCCTCGTGTTGCAAATGTACTAAACAATATTTCTTCACGTCCAGTATTAGTTATAAGAATAATAATACAGTTGTGTGTTCGGGTGAGTTAAATAGCAAGAATACTTGCATTTGTTGTTGTGATTGATCATGTCTTCAAGACAACTCAGAGTGTTTCACATGATGCATCGTCAAGTAAATTGACTTTAAAGAGAAATGCAGCATCTAATTGTGCACAGCCGTGTCCAACACAGACTTGGATTGAATAATCATATTATTATTATTATTGTTACTTGACTAATGCCCTGTCAGCCTGACTCCCCAGCTCTTTCCTACATAAGCTGCAGCCCAGCCAGATCCCGCAGCTCTTGTCCTCTCCAGCACCAGCCATGGCAGTCTGTCAGCGCTGCCTCACATGGCTATTTGGAGAGGACAGGACCCACAGGGGTCCGGGTGGTCTGTAGCTTGTGTTGTGAAGAGCTGTACAGAGGAAACTTCTCCAGGGCTAAAGTATCCTCAATTTGATCTGCTGGTGGATTTGGAGCCAGAACAAGATTGAATGTATTTTCTTCCTGGAGCTAAGTCCCTGCGTGGCCTCATTCCACTGAACATCAGCCACAGCCCCACGGCCTTACTGCTCCCTCGGCAGCTCAATTCCCCACCAACTGCTCACCAGTGTCCAGCTGTTCAGGCCCCGCTGTGTGCCATCCCCTCCCGCAGCCTCTCCCCCAACACATTGGCACTTTTAAACCCGCCTTAAATGTTCCCTTTCCACCCGACTCTGGTGGTCGTTCTCTCATCCTTCCTCAGCTCCCCCATGATAATTTATCAATGAGATTGTGAAGTCAGTGTGAAGGAAAGTATGAACATCTGCTGTTTCATCTCATATTCCGCAGGTGTTGGCAAGTTACAATCTTTCACATCTTTGTCAGTGCGACTTTTAATGTATTTGAACACCAATAACTATAGGCTCGGCAATGGCTTCTCAAGGTTTCAGATATTCATGAACATTGTGTATTTTAAAAGTTGTTTTTATATGATTGAGATTGTAAGCGGTATTGCTCTCAGTTATAGATTAGTTGCATTAGTAATGAAGAATTCATCTTAATGATACTGATGAAAGTACAGAAATTCCCAAGGACAGTTATTATCTGTCCTCTCCCAACCTTCAGGAGGCTCTGGCCTTCTCCACACCCCGCGCCCGGCCTACCCCACCATCGGCGTTGAGCTCCTTGACCCACAGCGCCTGGAGATCCCACAGTACCTCTGGCTCTGGTCTGCTCCACGTCCCCCACCCCAACCGCCCTACCATCCGTGGTCGGGCCTTCAGGCTCTCAGCCCCCAGGCTCTGGAACTCTATCCCCCAGTGCCTTCGCCACGTCCTCCCTTTCCTCCTTCAAGGCCGGTCTCAAAACCTTTCTCTTTGACCGTGCCTTCAGCTCCCCTCTCGACTCTCTTCCCCCTCCTCGCTCCCTCCCTTCCCTCCCCTCACCCTGACCATTTCCCCACTCCTTGCTCCTTCCCTTCCCTCCCCTCACCCTGACCATTTCCCCCCTCCTCGCAACCTCCCTTCCCTCCCCTCATCCTGACCATTCCCCCCCTGCTCGAGTCATGACCCAACTGTGCTGCGCCTTGGGACGTCCTCCTGACGTGAAAGGCGCTTTTTAAATGGAATCTTGTTGTTGTTGTTGTCTCCACAGTCTCCTCTTCAACCGCGCATTCCTCCAGGCAGCTCCCTCTCCCCTCCCTGCCCTCCATCATCCTGATCCCAACCTCCAGCTCGGGGCCCAATCTTTGAGGTCCTCCCGATGTGAAAGAAACTTTACAAATGTGATGTTGTTGCTGTGTATTACCGCTGAGCTACATGACTCCACAAATGATCCTTGCATTGGATATTGCGCCTGATCACAACCTTCTGACGCCTCAAAGCGCTTCAAGGAATATACTGTACAGTAAAGTGACGGTGTCATTTGAGGGTGAAACGCGGCAGGAAATGTGCAGTTCAGTATCGCGTAAACAGTCGTGGACCAAAGTTAAGTGACCAAATTAATATTATTGTAAGGAGATTTGACGTAAAACGACAATGTGGGTCTCTCTCTTCCCAACCCCATGACCAGCTCCAGAGCTGGTCTGTCAGCTCAGAGTCCCCGCGATGTGTGGGTGTTTCAGCGCCTTGGGACGTCCTCCCGACGGGAAAGGCGCTCTATAAATGGAATCTTGTTGTTGTTGTTGTGTGTGTTGGGGAGTGCAACAAACACACCACCTCATGACTCGGAGGCGAGAGAGAGAGAGAGAAAGAGAGATAGTGAGAGCAAGAGCCGGAAACGCAACCGAAGCCGAAATATAAAACTCTGCAGCTGGAACCTTTGTAGCTGTAAATGTATTAGTCAATTTGGATCAAGTCTATTAATTTATTAATCGCATTGTCAAAGATGTGAAAGATTGGAACTTGCGAGCGCCAACTTAGTGTGAGATTAAACAGCCGATGTTCCTGTATTCCGTTGCTCTAACTTCATAAACTTAATGATAAAGCATGTTTTTAACATCCACCATCAAGTAGCACGTCACTGAGACGTCTCAAAGCGCTTCACACAATGTGCTGTAACGTGTAGTGACTGTGACTTTGGTGGGTGGAACTCAACAAGAATTTTGCAACAGCAGTGTCCCACAAACCGTCGTGGATTAAGCGACCAAATTCTTATTTTGTAAGATGTGGACGATTGCAACTTGCGAGTTCCTGCTTCTTGTGAGATTACTTTCCTTTGCAATGGCGCCACAAACTTAACGGCAAAGCTTTAACCATCACCGTCAGTGGAGTCCTGTAGCTCAGTGGTTAGAGCACTCGCTTTGCAAGTGAGAGACCTGAGTTCAATTCCAGGCAGAGGGCGAAACCTTGGGCAAGTTTCCTTACTCCACACAGAGCCTAATAATAATCCCTCCAAAACCAAAAACAATAATAAATTGGTCATTTTCAATCCACGACTGTTTGTGGGACATTGCTGTGCGCAATTGGCTGCCGCGTTCGTCCACAAATATACAGTCAATTCACTTTACAGTGTGTTCTGTGAAGCGCTTTGGGACGTCCTCCCGACGTGAAAAGCGCTACATCAAATGCAAGGATTATTATTATTATTATTATCAGTTGCAGTAGTAGTCATATAAATACATGCAACATATATGCATAATATGTTTTATTACCATTTCTCTAAGACTAATTAGACATTTTATCGCGACTATTTAGTCACACTGTATATATTGTGTCAGACGCGGTCAGGAGGTATCGCCCTCTGAGATAGAAGGCTTTGATCTGATTTCACTAAACATTTTTAACCTTAGTTGAACGTTCAATTTGACCGTGAGCGCAACGTTGTGCAGTGGAAGTAGAACGGACTGAGCTTTACAAGTGGGTTACTCTCTGTCTGTCAAAACTAATCTGATGGGGAATGAGATTGAAAAGGTCAAAAGGTTTCATCATCCGAACTATACTTCTAAAGCACGTAACTCGCGAAAACTTTCTGATTTCAGCTCCTCAAGTCGACAGTCAAGATAAGAAATCAGGTGAGTTTTTTTGGATAAGCTATTTGTCTTCAGCACAAAATTCATCAAATACAATTAAATCAAAACTTTGTAGCACCACCAAACCCAAGACTAGGGCCATCCTCCCGACATAAATGGTACGAAAAGTACTGCAGATGCAACTTGCTGAATCTTTTATGGATGTCAGGCTCCATTGGCTTCCATTAGCAAAACGGATATTGTTTATAATCCTGACACTCACATGCCATTCACCTCATGCCCTTAGCATCTTACTTATACCCCTCCTCCTCTAGCAGTCCCACCTATCCTTCGGCCTCATCGACAACATCTTGCATTTGTATACCGTCCCTGATGCAGGTTAGCATCTCAGAGCGCCTGGGTCAGCAGGACCCCGACCCAGAGAAAGAGGGAGGTCGAAGTGGAAGCTCTTCCCAAGTTATATCAACTTGGAGTCAAGGAGGAGGGATTGAGGAAGAGTGCTGCAGTGTTTCTGGACAAGCTCTGCCCTGTTAAGAACCCAGAGACCCTTCCCTTCCCCGGGTGACAGGCACATGTACAAGAAGATAAGAAGTTATTGTTTTTGCTGTGAAGATCTATCCCGCAGTTTCAATACATCTCACGTTGAGTTTGTCCTTGTTATTTTTTCTCTCCTTTACAGTACTGAATTGAGAGGAACATTTCCTCTGTTTGTTTGAATTTTAACCTCATCTTTGCAGGAACACTCAAGGCGATTCGTGTCTTCCATCTAACCATTGCAACTTTAATACGTATTGACTGGTGTTTTCCTGTAAATTTGAAGCTAAAGCATTTGCTCCCCGATCCCTCTTTCTCCACCTTATGTAATCCCCTATTTAAACAAACCTAAGTAATACAACTTTAGTAACCTCGGTCTGTGCTTCAAATCGTCTCTTGATTTACACGCCTCTCCACCCTGTTCTCCCATCCAAATATCCACACCTCGATTCCAGTCCACATTTAACTTTCGTCTTGTGTCAATTATTATTGCTCCACATCCCGCTGAGCCTATCAATGTCACCTGAAATGTGAGGACACGTGGAATGTGCAGCACCTTTAACTCTATCATTCTCTGAAAACCATCGTTCAAGTCCCACCATCGATTACATATACTGACACAACCTGCACAACTCTTCCAGCGCTTCACAGAATTTACTGTAAGGAGCAATGACTGTGTAGGCAAATGCAACAGCTGCAACAAAAACAACTCGGATTGATATAGCGCCCTCAACGCCGGACGGCGACTCAGAGCGCTTCCGATTGAGTACAAATATTATTATTATAATTATGACTATCCTGCGCGACTGGAAATCAATTACAAAGGCATGTTTTTGGTGATGTTACTTGCAGATCATTTGAGGCTGGCGAATGGCGGCAGCCCGTGTGCCGGGAGAGTGGAGGTCTACCACGATGGACAGTGGGGCACAGTGTTTGGCCTTGGCTCTGGTGACAGTGGTTGGGACATGTTGGACGCGGTTGTGGTGTGTAAGGAGTTGGGCTGTGGAGCCGCGCTGTCAGCATCAGGAGACGCTCACTTTGGCGAAGGCTCAGGTCCCGTTGTGACGGAGAATGTTCAGTGCAGAGGGAGTGAGTCTACTCTGAGGGATTGTCAGTCACAGCCCTGGAGTGACTATTCAGTGTACTGGTCACACTCCTATGATGCCGGCGTCATCTGCTCAGGTAAATATTTCAGTGTCATTTTTTTCAATCCTCATGTTTTCGGTAAACCACAGTTTGAGAAACTCTGATAGAGATTGCATTCCACATGATGTCAGTTTGTCAGTTTTAAATCCCTAGTTTTTTTGGGGGTTCACACCGCCTCCTTCCGCTCCTCACCACCCCCCAACCTCTCTCCCGCTGCCGCCCACCCTCCAGCCCTCCTCCGTCGTTCAATGTTGATTTTCTTTAACCTCCGTGTTTCTGCACAACTGTGGCTTCAATCCTTCAATGAAATAATTTTTCAGCACGGAAGTAAAATATATTTATTTTAAATATATGCGTCCTTAAGATAATAATTAGTAATTAATCCTAGAGAATCCCTCAATCGCCTGGCCAGCACCTCGCCCGGCACCCCACCCCCGGCTCGGGGTCAACCACTATTAAACGGTCCTAGACATGTTACATGATTGCAAGTTGTTTTTTTTTAACACATTTTCCCTTTCCCGACCAAAGTGTCTCAGATAATACGTAGTAATCAAATGTGACAGTAGATCTTGTGAAGAGCTTCGAGTCGTCCACCTGTCATAAACGGCTCAATGTCAAAAATGACGATGGTTATAATCTGGAATTAAGTTTGCAAATGGTAAAAATATAATTTTCTAACTGCGGTATGAAGCCTGCGTGCAGTAGTGTTTATTATTTCAACTCAAACGGCTTTCCGTCCTGCCCCTCTAGCTCACTTGCTGCGCTGCTAATTGCCCCATCCCCACCTTAATAATAATAATAATAATCCTTGCATTTGATATCGCGCTTTTCACGTCGGGAGGACGTCCCAAAGCGCTTCACAGAACACACTGTAAAGTGAATTGACTGTATATTTGTGGGCGAACGCGGCAGCCAATTGCGCACAGCAATGTCCCACAAACAGTCGTAGATTGAAAATGACCAATTTATTATTGTTTTTGGAGGGATTATTATTAGGCTGTGTGTGGAGTAAGGAAACTTGCCCAAGATTTCGCCCTGACCTGCCTGGAATTGAACTCAGGTCTCTAACTTGCAAAGCGAGTGATCTAACCACTGAGCTACAGGACTCCATTCAGGAGAGGCTTCAATCATTGATTCAGACTTCTTTTCAAACCGGAACAAATATACATTGAAATCCGCAATGGTTCCTTATGGTGTTCCATCCAAGACAGTCGCTCCATCTCTCCGACTTTTGGTTTCTTGGGTTTAATTGGCAAATTGCTGCAAAATATTGACCGGGCTTATTAACAGTCCTTTCTTTCTTCATTGTCCTCATTATCTTCTGAGATCCCCATTGCACAGCAGGAAATTTCAGTCCCTTCTTTACGCTCTCAGGCTCTCTGACTCCCATTAGGTAGTAGGTACTGTCTCTTCTCATCCTCTCAGACCCCCTTTGCACCAAATTTATTGTCCTTCCCTTCCTCACCCTCTCCCACCCCCATTGCACAGGAGGTGCTATCTCTCCTCACCCTCGCAGACTTCCATTGCACAGCAGATAGTGCTATTCCTCTGCTCACACTCTCACTCTTCCATTGCACCTCAGGTATTGTCTCTCACCACCTTCTCCGACCCACATTGCCTCTCAGGTGGTATCTCTCCTAACTCTCTCCGCCTCTTCTTGCACAGTTCCTGCTTACACTCTCAGACCCCATTGCAGACCCCATTGAATTGTAGATACTGTCATTCCACCCCAGTCACTTCACTATTAATGCACAGCAGCTACTTCTAAATGATTTGGGACGTCATTCTAACCTGCAGGTCGCAGCGTAAACTTATATTGTGTCCTTTTGAAGCTGCGTAAGATATTTGTAGGGAAACTCAGCACCACAAAAAAAACTTGCATTGATACGCAGGTAGTTTCGCATGGAGCTTAATCACTACCTCACTCACCTGAAAAGTATCTAAATGTACATTTCTATCTCTAAATTTCTGATGATTGTTTCAGCTTTCACCTGTTTGCTGTCTGTCGTTAATCTTTCTGTCAACGTGGAGTCCTGTATCTCAGTGGTTAGAGCACTCGCTTTGCGAGCGAGAGACCCGAGTTCAACTCCAGGCAGAAGGCGAAACCTTGGGCAAGTTTCCTTACTCCACACAGAGCCTAATAATAATCCCTCCAAAACCAAAAACAAGAATTAAATGGGTCATTTTCAATCTACGACTGTTTGCGGGACATTGCTGTGCGCAATTGGCTGCCGCGTTCACCAACAAATATACAGTCAATTCACATACAGTGCGTCGTGCGAAGTGCATTGGCACGTCATCCCGACGTGAAAAGCGCTATATCAAATGCAAGGATTATTATTATTATAGGTACGTTCTTTGTATTATAATAACCCATATCACGTTAAATCTTCCACTACAGAACATTATCCCCCAAAATTAATTGGTGGAAGCAATGCCTGTTCCGGAAGAGTTGAATTGCAGCGCAATTATAAATCGGGAACAATCTGCGATCATTATTGGGATTTACAGGACGCCGATGTGCTCTGTCGGCAATTGGATTGTGGCTTCGCTTTGTCAACTGGTTCTGGAACACTGTTTGGGAAAGAAACAGCTCTTATCTGGAAAACTAACTTCAATTGTGTCGGTAATGAATACCGAGTGTCGCACTGTCCTGTATCATTCTGGGAGAAGTTCAGCTGTACACATGACAATGATGTTACTGTTGTATGTTCCGGTGAGTGAAATAATAATTCTTGCATTTGATAAAGTGCATTACTACCTGATTATTATTAAGTCATTGAGACTTCTTCAACGCGCTTCAAATAGTATAACTTAATGAAATCTGACTGCATATTTTGTCGTCGGAAAAGCCAACAACTTAAAAAATAATGGGTCATACACTTTAAAAGTAAAATCTACCTTTTCTCAAATGATACGCTGTCTGTCTAACAGAACCTGATCTATTGTGTGAGTAAGATTTGCGAAGAGTTATTATTCAGGTGTCAGAGGTGACACCAATCTCCATCTCTAAAAATCAGCACAAACCAAATTTAATTTTATTATTGCATACGAGAGCATAGACTCCTGAGACAAAGTGTTTACTCCCGATTCCCATAGAGTAGTCTGGTCCTGATGAAGGACAATCTCTGGTTTTAGACTGTGACGATAATGCTCTTCTGCTAGAAATGCAACGATTCTTTTAAAAATTCTCCTTCTATTCAAGTATTTGTTTCCTCCTGGCACATGAGGTTAGTTGTGCACTTGGGCTGGAGGCTGCTGTCATTTTTTGTGTTATTGTCTGTAGATTATGTGTAGCTGTGAACACCAGTAACGTCGTCGTCTGTGAAATGTTCATGTAATTTCTACGTTACTATGAATATTTCTGTGTCATTTTGTCGGGTGTATTGTCACATTCGACATACCTATTTTCAATTACTCACACGATATACTTATCTTCAGCTCTTACAGCTTTGAGTATGAATTGTGCATTGAAATCGTTGCAGGTACACAGTGGCACTTACGGTTAGAGAGCGGTGTGAGCGGCTGTGATGGGCGAGTGGAGATTTTTCATGACGGTACTTGGGGCAGATTGCTGGACGATTCCTGGAATATATCAGATGGCGATGTCATCTGCCGACAGCTGAACTGTGGCTCTGCTATTTCAGTCTACAACTCTTCCCAATACGGGGAAGGCACTGGACCTGTGTGGATCAATAATGTTCAGTGTGTGGGAACCGAGACACACATCTGGAACTGCTCACATTCCACAGTGGCTTCATCCTCCTGGACCAGCCGGGATGTGGGAGTGATTTGTTCGGGTGAGTGCACTTTAGTGATAAATAGAATAAATGGAATAAATCTTTGTTAATTTTGGTAACACATTGCTAAATAACTTACATTATGCCTCTCTCTCGGTGAGTGCTCATCTTCATTGATGTAGAAATGTCCCACCAGTTTGAATTACTCCACCTGTGATGCTGGGACAAGAGTATGAACGTCAATACACAATGAAAGTTCACACATATACATTGAGTATCAATTAATTTTTTTGGATGACGAATAATATTAAACCGCAAACGATCTCTTTATATCCTAAATAGAAATTTGACATACTGTTTTACTTTGCAACAGAACACAAACAGCTTACACTAAACGAATCAAATTGGAAAACATTTCGTACTGGAGTTCAGAGTTCAAGTGAGTGAACGTTTACCAATACTTTTTATTTCACCAGGAGGTTTTAAATAGCATTTTAAATCGGTGCATGTTATGCCTTGAATTAAACTTTCCTCATTTTCAGCAGAAGATGTTCAGATCAGACTGATGGACGGTGGGAGTTCGTGTGCTGGGAGAGTGGAGATTTACTACAACAGAACCTGGGGGACGGTGTGTGATGACTCCTGGGGTTCACTTGAGGCGAATGTTGTGTGCAAACAGCTCGGATGTGGATCTGCAGTTCATACAACATCTGCGGCCACTTGTGGACGAGCCTCAGCTCCAGTTTGGTTGGATGACGTGAGATGTACAGGAAAGGAATCAGCTCTCTGGGAATGCCCCTCTTCTCCATGGGGGCAACATGACTGTTATCATAAAGAAGATGTGAGCATCGTGTGTAAAGGTAAGAGATTAATCACTTTGTCTTACATCAGCAAATTCCACTGATAGGGTGTGAGCTTGGATCAGATTTTAGCACTTTCTCCATTCAGGTAAATGGTATTTGGTTTCAAAGGCCTCATGGAATAATTTTGGCAAAAGCTAACAATTCAGTGCAGTAATCTTTGCCTCTGATGGTGTTATTACCTGTTCACCTGAGAAAAAATGATCCCATGGGCAATGCTGGAAAAGGCAAGGATGATTGCCATTGTGCCCGGGGCCAACTATCCTGGCGATGAAACATGTGGAGTCCTGTAGATCAGTGGTTAGAGCACTTGCTTTGAAAGCGAGAGACCTGAGTTCAATTCCAGGCAGAGGGCGAAACCTTAGGCAAGTTTCCTTACTCCACAAAGAGCCTAATAATAATCCCTCCAAAAATCAAAAACAATAATAAATTGGTCATTTTTCAATCCACGACTGTTTGTGGGACATTGCTGTGCGCAACTGGCTGCCGCCTTTGCCCACACATATAAAATCAGTTCATTTTACAGTGCGTTCTATGAAGCGCTTCAGGACGCACTCCTGACGTGAAAAGCGCTATATCAAATGCAAGGATTATTATTATTATCATTATGTTCTATTTGTGGTTAGATGTGGGATATTGTATGGCAGTTTGTGTCTAGATATTCCGTCACCACAGTTAGAAACAGCTGTAAAATAGTAATAATAATTTTGTTGTTTTTGGTTTTTGGAGGGATTATTATAGGCTCTGTGTGGAGTAAGAAAATTTGATACAGCGCTTTTCACTTCGGGAGGACGTCCCAAAGCGCTTCACAGAATGCACTGTAAAGTGAATTGACTGTATATTTGTGGACGAACGCGGCAGCCAATTGCGCACAGCAATGTCCCACAAACAGTCGTAAATTGAAACTGACCAATTTATTATTGTTTTTGGTTTTGGAGGGATTAGTATTAGGCTCTGCGTGTAGTAAGGAAACTTGCCCAAGGTTTCGCTCTCTGCCTGAAATTGAACTCAGGTCTCTCGCTTGCAAAGCGAGTGCTCTAACCACTGAGCTACAGGAGGTAGATTGACTACGTTGCAGTTGAGAGATTTCAATTCTATCATAACACCATGTTGCCTCACAGAGCACAAGATGCTGCGGCTGGCGAATGGGCTACATTCCTGCGAGGGGAGAGTGGAAGTGTTTTACAATGGGACCTGGGGCACAGTCTGCTCGGACTCCATGGGAATCGACGAAGCTGAGGTAATCTGCAAACAGTTAGATTGTGGCAAAGCTCTCGAAGTTGAATATGATGGAAAATTTGACGAAGGATCTGGACCTATTTGGTTGGATGACATGGAGTGCAATTCAAAGGAATCCTTCCTGTGGCAGTGCTCCTCACGACCTTGGGGTGAACATAACTGTGTTCATTCGGAAGATGTGGGTGTGATGTGTTCAGGTAGTAAAATGTCCCTTAGTTCACATCTCTGATGAAATATTTATTGTACCTATGTTTGAACCAGTTTGCTTATCTGATGTATTTTTGATGCAGAGAAAGCTCCGGAAAAAAGGGAGAGGGCAAAACTATGCGATGGGAGATCACCGGATCATCAGATTCGTTTATCAGGTACTGAATGAAAAATAAATGAATGAACAGAATTTGTATTTGTTATCAAATCATTCACATCAGGTGGAATTCTAAGTGCGCTTCACATTATCTACTGTAACGTGGTTTGACTGCAATGATAATAATCCTTCCATTGGATAATGCGCTTTTCACGTTTTCTTGAATTGTCAAAGCGCTTCACGGAATTTACTGGAAAGTGAAGCGACTGCATATTTGTGGGCGAAACGCGGCAGACAATTGAGCACAGCGGTGTCCCACAACCAATTGTCGATCTAGTGATCAAATTATTATCACTAATGTTTATTTTTGAAGGTTTATTTATAACAGATCCTGTAAATAATACTTTACATGATAAATTCTATTGATGACAATATGGAAGAGTGCGTATTTTATTGGTGTGAGTAACTAACATGTGATATGAATACTGTCTATCAATACGTCCTCCCGACGCGAAATTCGCTATACAAATGTAATCTTGTTGTTGTTGTTGCTGTCTGATCAGGACAGGAGTTGCGGTTGGTTGGAGGAAGCAGCATTTGCTCGGGGAGAGTTGAGATACTGAGCAATAAGACGTGGGGGACGGTGTGTGACGACTCCTGGGATATCCGAGAGGCCAGTGTGGTGTGCGGACAGCTGGACTGCGGCCCGGCCGTGCGGGCTGTGGGACAGGCGGGGTTCGGACAAGGCGCTGGTCAGATATGGCTGGACGAGCTTCACTGCAGAGGAAGCGAATCCTTTCTGTGGGATTGTGTCTCTTCATCCGCGGGTCACAGCGACTGCGTTCACAAAGAAGATGCTGGTGTGGTTTGCTCCGGTAGGGATCCGATCTCTCAATGTTCATTGACAAATTTGAGGTTTTTTAAATATTTCTCAACAAAAGCAGATTAATTCTGACTTGATTTGAAGCCAGAAATTGAATTGTTACTGGATTAATGGTGTTTGCGATGTGTTGCAGGTAAACCTCCCAGACCGCCTGTCCCAAACCCATCCTTTGGTAAATAAAACAATTACTTGACCTCTTGATGATGTGTTGCTTAACATTCATAGATATTACCAACCAGTATTGTCTTTGATTCGTAAACAAGGAAATATACTTAAGCAGTACATTTGTAAACTAACCTGCCACAAGTCAACACTTGAGAAATGAACAGACTGTATAACTACTTTTTAGAAATTAACAGGCTGTTTAACTTCAGGAAAAGATCTCCATATATTCCATTATTAACACGGTTTGGGCATTTTCTTCTGACTGCACTGTGCAACGTGTCATACATTATTTGGCCTGAGATATTCTTCAGTATAGTATGAATATTTTTCGTTATAATTTCGAAAATGTGACGACCACATATTCTGCAACAAAAAATAACAAATGTTATGTCCTTGACTTGCAAAGTCCAGTTGATCAACATACCTTTCGTGGTCTGCATCGTCCTTGGAATCCTGTTAGCAGTGGTACTGTTTGCACTGATAGTACAGATGGACAGCAATTCTTCAGGAACAGGTGAGCCTGGAATCTGGTCTCACAGCACTGCCTGGAGCTCCGTTATCAATTCAGAAGAAATCCTACTGATGCACGTCTCTCTCTTGTTAATTTAATACTCTTGTCTGTTTTTACCATCTCGATTTCATTGCCTATGTTCACATGTATCTCTAAAGTGGAACAAACTGAAACTAAAGACATATACGTTCAAATGCGTAGCTCAAACACAAACACAGATGCATAAAGAAACCCACCAGACACAATTAAGCCTCAACGTAAACTGAGCGCAACAACATATATTTCGTAAAGAATACNAAAAAAGTAGTTAAATTGACACAAAAACGTAGATACCCAAAGCATCACATATACACAGTTGTATTAACACACCAACACACAGAGCTAAGTAGATATTTGTAGGTACCTAAATACAAATGCACAGTCATATTTACCGATTGAAACAAACACTTACAAAAACAAGTACACTGATGAATAATGAGGCAATAGTGACGATGATATATTGATATTTTCAAATAATAATACTAACGTAACATGTTCCAGATATTTACACATCAATTTCAAACTCCACTGTGCAATTTCAGGTTAATATTTTAATTTCTGTACATGTCAACTTCCAACAGAGGAAAAATATCCGTCTGTTCGTTTGTATCAAGCAATTTATGAAGAAATTGAGGAAGAACCAATCAGAAGAAGAAGCGTTGAGTCTGGCTCCTCTGGTATATAGTTTACAATTAAGTTTTTTGTATCTCTATCATTGTAAAGACAAACGTCAACATCAGTATCCCGATTGGTGGCAAATGCAAATGATTGAATGCGCTGTGGATAGGATTTCAAGCTTTTATTCAGAGAACTGAAAAAGCCACATCTTGTTGCGTTGTATCAATTTACCCACTTAATAGAGAGAAAACCTACTGAATACTTCAATTTGTTCGGTCTTTCAATTTTCAAATATTATCAACGATGATTTCTGCATTTACCAATTAAATTAAGTTACATTATTTAATTTAATATACAGTAAAATAACTGTTAGATAGTGGGTTTTATAACTTCACCAAAACGAATCCTACAGAAATTAATATAAGCGATGGTTATAGTGTGTCTGTAGTCGCAGCGAATATCTAAAATAATACCATGTTTTCAAATGTGTCATTCGTAGCCTAAACAGAGGCAGTATTCAAAAATTATATTAATATTATTTAACCAACTTGCTCCTGGTATGTTAAAGATTTTCTCTTGATCAACATCATATTTTTGAGCGGTTGACCATGTCTTTATCCATGGAAAGTGATCCACGATTTCGGAAAAAAACTCTCATTTTTTATACCTTTTTTCATTTTGATATTGGAGTCGAATTAGGCTCTAAGAACCTCTGTAATGTGACAGTAATGACATTATTTGCACAGTTTCAGGATCCAACGATTCTATCAGTAAACTGGAGTACTACACTGGGGAGAGTGTGAATGGATCTGATGCAGAACAAGGAAACGCTGAGGTGTTTCTTCCGAATGGTGAGTGAGTGAAAAAATTATTGTGTGCGATACAGCCTCTGATCAATTCGACGAGACGTTTCAAAGCACTTCACATATGTTTACTGTGATTTTTAGTGATTGTATATCTCTTGGTGAACTGGAAAGGCAATTTGTGCGCAAAATATGCACAGTAATCAGGAGGAATGTGGGGCAACCCTCCAGTATAAGAACTATTTCCCTTTTGAGATTTGCAATATTTAAATTCCAGCTAAACATCCAAACGGAGCTCAATGCACTGCACTGCTGTGGAGTGTTATCCAGAGTGTGATCTTAGTCCCCGAGTGGATTACAATCAGAAACTTCCGACCCAGAGGCCAAAGAGCTCCCAATTTATCCAGTTTTCACAGTAAAACAAGCTTTAATCTTCAGATAAAGTATCTAAAAAGAAATTCAGGATTTTTTCATAGTTCAGGCATAAGATACATTGAGCACCACTGTGTCCAAATTTGGGTGGATATGGATAGACATTTGGGGAAGACAAATTTGCAGGGCTGTGGGGAGAGCGCGGAAGAGTTGGAGTAATTTTGGTCGCTCTTTCAATAGATGGACTGAATGGCCTCCTTCTGTGCTGTATAATATTATGATATCTGCCTCCTTATCCCATCTGAATGTTTGAGTGCGTAAGACTGACTCACTGTTAACAGATCATCTTCAGGAAGATTACGACGTAGCTGAGGGTGGAACCTTCCAGATGGCGGACCGGGGCCTCCTCCTGGTCACTGACACACACCCTGATGTCCCCGCACTGACCAGTCACACTGTCCAGGAAGCCTCGCTCTGTCAGGGTAAGAGCCGAACTGTCATGTCTTAACTTACCGCCGGAGATATTTAATCAGCAACACATCTGGGAGTGAAAATCATCATCACAGTCGCAATTATCATCAATCTTCCATTCCATACAGAAATGTAATGGCATAAGGACAACAAGGATCACAATTGTGCAGTGCCTTTCAAGTTAGGACGTCTCGGACAGGCTTCAATGTGTAGTGACTGTATGTGTAGGCGAGTTGGTACGTGTTTGCACCATGGGATTGGTAATAGGGCAGCTGGAGATATTTGGCCTCGCTGTGATATCTAAAATCAGAATAATTAGTGGTCGATGTGCAATCTGAAATGGATATTTCTCGGTTTGATGAATTCATCTCCGAGGCGCTCTGTAACGCCAATAATTGCACATACAGAATGGTGCTCTGTGTAGTGTCAATAACTGCACATATAAAATGGTGCTGTGACTTTCCGATTAACGCAGATATCCTTGTTTCTACGTCTTGTTAATAACAACCAAAATGCAGTGAAGGAAATAATCGTTCACAGCACTATCAGCAATTATTGAAACGCGCGTTTAAAAATTTATAATCTCATTAAAATTTAACAAGTGAGGAGGAATTCCATCTTGAATGCCCAACCTTTCCAGTTTTTTTAAAATGCTGATTGTAGTGATGGAGGTAAGACACACAATCAGAAATCCAAGATGGTTATCTCCGCAATCGGTATTTTTCCTCACACACAAACACACAGATACACACGCAGAGACTCACAGACATACACAACATACCTGTGTACACACAGACACAAACGCAGCACATACACGATCATAGACAGACACAGGCGCACACAGACAGACACACACCGAGACACACAACACACAGACACTCACAGACAGATAGGCACACACAGGCAAACACACAGACAACACACATAGACACACAGACTCACATATATACAGACACACAAATGCAGACGCAGACGCACACTTACAGACACACAGTGACACCTTTCTGAATGTAATCACTAATAAATGATGGCTCTCTCTGCAGAGGGTGGACATCACACAGACAGTGACCCGCTGTTTCCTGTTGACACCAGTCAGTGTGGTTATGATTATGATGATATTGACTGTGAGAATGACACCGAGAAGAACAGACCACTTCCCATTGGGAATCAAAGGGAATCTCCTGAGCTCTGCACCGTCTGATCGCAACATCCCCATCAAACAGGTGAGTTCATGATTTACAGCATTACTTACATCACAGAAAGCCGCCAATGATTGATATGATCGTCCTGGTGACATGTGTACTAGTAGTCACAGTTACAGGTGATTGTAATGGTTATACAACTTGACCAACACCGGTCAGTGATTTTAATCATTCACAATCCTGACTTGAGGCTGATATTAGACAGAATGGCAGTGATCATGTGCAGCCGTCACACATGTATTCACGCCAATTGATGATGGAATTAAAATTAAAAACTTCTTGTCAGAAACTTCACAGTGATGTGATCCATGGTTGGATGCGACTAAAACGTTAATTTATATTTACTATTCTAAACTGTTGGAACTATTTTCTTTATTTGACTCAGAGATTATTGTTCCTATACGTTACGCGCAAAACTTTTATTTTATTTTCCTGAATCAAAATTTAATTTCACATTCTGCTATTTGAGCGTAAAAAGTCCTTCTTCCTTTGTAAATGTGGTATCAAATGGCAGAAACATTAACTAAAATAGTTGGAAACAGTCTCTCAAACAGCAGCCGGTGAACGAATCCCAAGTAACCGCCCCAGAGATTGTCATTGCCAATGTGCTGTACTTTAGGATGTTATACATGGATCAATATTATGTTATTGATGAGAATAAATTATTTCCTTTAAATAATATCTTTTATTGTCTATTTAACAGAGCCATTCAACCGAAATTTCATCACCAATAATTACTGATTATCTTTAGATAGAAAACCAGAGGATAAAATGAATACACACGTTCGACCAACTTACCAAAGCAATTAATATGAACCCGTGTCACATCTTTCTGTGATAGCAAGTTTCCATGTGTGTTCTGTGTAAAACATTCCTCTGTGATTTTCAGAATGATTTGTTTGCATTTCAGGGTGAATTTAATGCATATTTTAAACATTGCAGTAAACTGATGCCTTTGTTCGTGTTATCATATTACACAGAAAATGGTTGTATTTTTATCCTTTTCTAATTTGTTTTGAATTTACTTTTATGCTTACGATTCTAGACTGCAACTGCGCTTACGATTTTTTTTTATTTTCTCGTCATTTTAAAACATTTATTGTGATAAAATTATAAGATGACTGCACATAATTGATTAGTTATTTTTGTTGAATTATATCAATCATCTTATTTTATCTCCCCTAAAATGAGTCATTGGTCAGTTGGATTAAAAAAGATCCAGTTTCAGATGAAACTTGTATTCGAACCAGAAAGTTCTATGTTTATTCTGTAAACCACGGCGAGTATTAGTTTTGGGAATAATGGTAAAAGTACACGAGCAAACAAAAGAGAATTGATGTGATGACAGCACCCACCATGTGTCACAAGAGTGATATCTGCTCTTACCTGTTCATCTAATTAACAAACAGATTGTAAATGGTGAGTTAAATTCAAATAGACTTCAATAAAGAGCAAATGGTCATGTGACCGCCCAGTTGTTTGCCATTGTTTTCAAGTGCAGAACACACAAACCACTTACATCTGTCTGTCCCTGACCACAATGGATTGCAGAAGAATTAGTAGGTTCGTAACCTGAAATTCGGTGTGATTCTCACGAAATACAGCCTGGATCATTGGAGAGGTGTGAGGTAGAGGGCAGTGATGTGGGGTAGAGTGCAGTGATGTGGGTAGAGGCCAGTAATGTGTAGTAGAGGGCAGTGATGTGGGGTAGAGGGCGGTCATGTGGGTTAGAGGGTCGTGATGTGGATTAGAGGGCAGTTATGTAGGGTAGAGTGTAGAGATGTGGGGTAGAGGACAGTGATATGGATTAGAGTGCAATGGTGTTGGGTAGAGAGTAGTGATGTGGAGTAGAGGGCAATGATATGGGGTAGAGGGTAATGATGTGGATTAGAGGGCAGTGATGTGGGGTAGAGGGCGGTGATGTGGGATAGAGGGCAGTGATGTGGGTTAGAGGGTCGTGATGCGGATTAGAGGGCAGTTATGTGGGGTAGAGAGTACCAATGTAGGGTAGAGGACAGTGATATTGATTAGAGTGCAATGATGTGGGGAAGAGGACAGTGATGTGGAGTAGAGGGCAATGATATGGGGTAGAGGGTAATGATGTGGATTAGAGGGCAGTGATGTTGGGTTGTCCAATCCCGGCTGCTCGAGCGCAGATGGCAAAAACTGGCCTGACAGATCACCACCAACTGTGGCTCGAGCATCTCCACAGCTACAGACTTTCTTTGACCCGTGAGAAAACGGCCTTCTTCTCCGACATCATCCTGGAGACAAAAAAACAATTCTAAAGGCCTTTGTTTCCACTACCCATTACCTCCTCCGCTCGCTCCCTCAGGCCTCCGCAATCTTCGCATCGAACGCCATGTGCGAGGAGGTCATGGACTTCTTTTCAACTATGGTAAATATGTCCGCCTGGCAGCCTCATGCTCCTGCGTCTTGTCACACACTAGCACTGCATCTTCGCGTCCCTCAGCCTCCCACCTCTCTTCCTACATTCAGGGCCGCGCCTTTGCTCACCTCCTTCCCCCTCCCCCTCGCTCCGCCTCGGTAATATTTATTGCAAAGCGCTCTGAGCTTGGACGTCGCTACACAAATCTAAGTTTTTGTTGTTGATTGTCCATCAACTACACAGTCTCTGAGCTCCAATGTCTGTGCTCTGCCCTCTGTACCCGTGGCCTCCTGAAGCTCTGAGCCCCTATGTCTGTGCCCTGCCCTGTGCATCCTTGGCCTCCTGAGGCTCTGATCTCCAATATCTGTGCTCTGCCCTCTGTTCCCGTGGCCTCCTGAGGCTCTGAGCCCCAATGTCTCTGCCCTGCCTTGTGTTCCCGTGGCCACCTGAGGGTCTGAGCTCCAATGTGTGCGCTGTGCCCTGGGTACCCGTGTCCTCCTGAGGGTCTGAGCTCCAATGTCTGTGCCCTGTCCTGGGTACCCGTGGCCTCCTTAGGCTCTGAGCTCCAATGTCTATGCTCTGCATTGGATACCCGTGGCCTCCTGAAGCTCTGAGCTCCAATGTGTGCGCTCTGCACTGTGTACCCGTGGCCTTCTGAGGCTCTGAGCTTCAATGTCTGGGCTCTGCCCTCGGTACCCGTGGCCTCCTGAGGCTCTGAGCTCCAATCTCTGTGCCCTGCCCTGGGTACTCGTGGCCTCCTGAGGCTCTGAGCTCCAATGTCTGTTCCCTGCCCTGGGTACCCGTGGCCTCCTGAAGCTCTGAGCTCCAATCTCTTTGCCCTGCCCTTGGTACTCGTGGCCGCCTGAGGCTCTGAGATTCAATGTCTGTGCCCTGCCCTTGGTACTCGTGGCCTCTTGAGACACTGAGCTCCAATATCTGTGTCCTGCCCTGGGTACCCGTGGCCTCCTGAGGTTCTGAGCTCCAATGTCTCTGCCATGCCCTGGGTACCCATGGCCTCCTGAGGCTCTGTGCCCTAATGTCTATGCTCTGACCTGGGTAACCGTGGCCTCCTGAGGCTCTGAGCTTCAATGTCTGTGCTGCTGTGTGGTTGTCTGTTTCAGGGGGAATGCAGTTTAATATTTTATATAGTTCGCTTCAGACTCTCTGAAATAACCTCACTTTAATATTGTCTCTCCTTTGTGAATCAGAACTAACATCCAGTGGTACAGGGAAAGGCAAGTGAGATGGACAAAACACGTCATACATTCAAAGACCTCTCCAACAAATGTCTCTCTTCTGTTTTGCAAACGCTCCACACACAGTGATACCTCTCTGCGAAGTAAAGAGTGACTATGGCAACTGATATCCGATAACATCTCATCTGGCTGAGTGTTTCCTGCTTGAAATCAACTGTGTTTGCATGTGAGTGTGCGAGAGAAAGAGACC